ACCTCAATCCCTGGGTGAAACTGTGCGTTTTCGTGTTTGGGACTGGTGTAAGTGCACATCATTGAAGGGCCGCTCATGGATGGCATGAACGTCGTGGGAGACTTGTTTGGCGCTGGCAAGATGTTCCTCCCCCAGGTGAGCCTGCCTTGATCCCTGGGTCAGCCTGCCTGCCCCCCCCAGGTGAGCCTGCCTTGATCCCTGGGTCAGCCTGCCTGCCCCCCCCAGGTCAGCCTGCCTTGATCCCTGGGTCAGCCTGCCTGCCCCCCCCAGGTCAGCCTGCCTTGATCCCTGGGTCAGCCTGCCTGCCCCCCCCAGGTCAGCCTGCCTTGATCCCTGGGTCAGCCTGCCTGCCCCCCCCAGGTCAGCCTGCCTTGATCCCTGGGTCAGCCTGCCTGCCCCCCCCAGGTCAGCCTGCCTTGATCCCTGGGTCAGCCTGCCTGCCCCCCCCAGGTCAGCCTGCCTTGATCCCTGGGTCAGCCTGCCTGCCCCCCCCAGGTCAGCCTGCCTTGATCCCTGGGTCAGCCTGCCTGCCCCCCCCAGGTCAGCCTGCCTTGATCCCTGGGTCAGCCTGCCTGCCCCCCCCAGGTCAGCCTGCCTTGACCTCCGGGTGAGTTTGTCTCCCCAAATGAGCCTTCTGGTGAAACTGCCTCCCCCAGGTGAGTGTGTATTTCTTTTCCAGGTGAGTGACTGCTGATATTGCTTGAGGTTGGGGTAAGAGCGTTGCGCTTTCCAGACTCCTCACACTCCTCGCTCTCCTGTGCTTCCTCCTCCTGGCTTATGTGAAGCTGGTTACGAGTTCCCGCCACACCTAACCCTCTCACAACCCCCTCCCCTCCCTGCCCACCCGCCCTCACCTCCCCACCCTCCCCACCCGCCCTCACCTCCTCACCCTCCTCACCCTCCCCACCCTCCCCCACCCCACAGGTGATCAAGAGCGCGCGTGTGATGAAGCGTGCCGTGGCCCATCTCATCCCCTTCATGGAGAAGGAGAAGGAGAAGGCTCGTCTCGCCAACCCCGAGATCGAGCAAGCCGCCAACGCCGGCACCGTCGTCATCGCCACCGTCAAGGGAGACGTGCACGCCACTCCCCAGCCTCCCCACCCTTCTGATCCTCCCCGTTCCCGTCCCCCCTACCTCCTTCTCCCCACACCCTCTTCTCCCACAGGTGATCAAGAGCGCGCGTGTGATGAAGCGTGCTGTAGCACATCTGATTCCGTTCATGGAGAAGGAGAAGGAGGAGGCCCGCCTCGCCAACCCCGAGATCGAGCAAGCCGCCAACGCCGGCACCGTCGTCATCGCCACCGTCAAGGGGGATGTGCACGACATCGGGAAGAACATCGTTGCGGTTGTGCTGGGTTGTAACAACTACAAGGTGGTTGATATGGGTGTGATGGTTCCCTGCGCTAAGATTTTGGAGGCTTGCCGTGAGCATAAGGCGGATGTGGTGGGTTTGTCGGGGTTAATTACCCCGTCGCTGGATGAGATGGTGACGGTGGCAAAGGAGTTGGAGAGGGAGGGGTTTAAGATCCCGCTGCTGATTGGTGGAGCCACGACCAGTCGCATGCACACAGCTGTCAAGATCGAGCCGGTGTACAGTGGGCCTACTATTCATGTTTTGGACGCTTCCCGCAGCGTCCCGGTGGTTTCCAGCCTGCTCGATCCAACGGCCACGGTTGACTTTGTGACGGACGTTCGGGAGACGTACGCGGAGCTTCGGGAGGAGCACTATGCTGGGCTGCAGGATCGGAAGTACGTGCCTATCAACAAGGCTCGGGACATGAAGTTCCAGATCGACTGGAAGCTTCCGGAGAACCTTCCTGTGGTCCCGAATGTGCTGGGAAAGAAGGTTTACAAGGATTATCCAATCAATGAGGAGTTGCTGGCAGCCATTGATTGGAATCCGTTCTTCCAGGTGTGGCAGCTGAGGGGCAGGTACCCCAACCGCGGTTACCCGAAGATTTTCAACGACGAGACGGTCGGGGAGGAGGCGAAGAAACTTTTCGACGACGCGCAGGCGATGCTGCGGGACATTGTGGAGAACAAGAAGCTGACCGTGCGGGGCGTTGTCGGGATTTACCCTGCAAATTCAGTGGGCGACGACATTGTGCTGTATTCTGACGAGTCGAGGAGCACGGTCATTGAAACCATGCATACGCTTCGCCAGCAGGCTGAGAAGGAGGAGAATGACGATCCCTACCTCGCTTTATCCGACTTTATCGCCCCAGCGACCTCGGGCGTCAAGGATTACCTCGGAATGTTTGTGGTTTCTTCCGGGTTCGGACTCGAGGAAATGGTGAAGAAATTCAAGGAGGATAATGATGACTTCAGTTACATCATGGCCGAGGCTATCGCCGACCGTCTCGCCGAAGCTGCGGCGGAGGTTCTCCACCGGGACGTTCGGAAGGAGGTGTGGGGGTACGCCAAGGAGGAGAACCTGAGTGTAGACGAGCTGCTGAAGGTGAAATACCAGGGTATTCGCCCTGCCCCGGGGTACCCCAGCCAGCCGGATCACACAGAGAAGCCGGTCATGTGGAGGCTTATGGATGTTGAGGAGGAGACGGGGATTCAGCTCACTGAATCCATGGCTATGCTGCCCGCTGCTTCGGTTTCTGGCCTGATTTTTGCTGCGCCCAAGAGCCACTATTTTGCAGTTGGGAAGATCTTGGGGGATCAGGTGGGGGATTATGCGCAGAGGAAGGGCATGCCGGTTGCCGAGGCTGAGAAGTGGCTCGGACCGATGCTGAATTACGAGCCTTAGAGGGTGGTTCGGCAGGGTGTATGCTGTTGTTCTGTTTGAGGGCGAGGAGGATGATAGTTGCTTTTTGGTGAAAATTTGGCATCCCATCCCATCCCATCTAACTTAGATGCTGGTACCAGTACTCATAGTGGCTATTTCATTTACTTTCTACTGCTGCTAAGGTGCGTATTCTCACAAGAGCATCCAGCCCGTGTCTTCTCTCTCTGGTTGAACTGCCACTCATTTTGTAAAAAACATAAAGTTACTGTAAGGTCAACTGAATTCGTGAGTTATTTCGCTTTTGAAGTTTGTTGGAGCTCCCGATGGAGCACTGTACAGGGAGGTTCGCGGCGGGAGAGAGTGGTGGAGGCGGGCGTGCCATTCATATGCCGCCGTGATGTGTGTGGACACGGAAATGTGTGCTCTGCTTACTGTTTCTCGAGATTTCACTGATTTTTTCATGGCTGAATAAGCGAGGTATTGAGCACGAGCATAACGTCGATGGAGCTTTAGCGTGAATCGTGGCCTGTATTCAATAAAGTTTATGCTCTCTCTTCAACGTCCATCCCAGCCAGTCAGGTTATCATCGATCGATTTTATATTAATTGAATTCGCGGTGAGATTTCTCTCGCAGGAAACAGAGCAATTCCGATTGACCTAAACTAGGCACGCTAGCTCATATCCATCATCGTCTCTCCTCCGCCATTCTCCCAGGCAGTAGCACTCGGCACGGAATGATAATCAACTGGCGCTAGCATAATTATCCCCGAGTCGCATGTTGTCGAAGTACGCAGATTAGTACTATGCGTGACGGTTAGATCATGCGCCGCGGTGCCTGTCGGAATATGTGTCGCGGTTAGGTTATGTGCGGTTTCTGGCAGATGGCCCGCTCCGCCGCCGGCTTGCACGGCGGCGAACGGCTCGAGCAGAAGCGGTTGCCCGAATTTAAACCCTAACTCGCCGAATTGGCAGGCGGAGCCGGGGATGTGAAGCTCGGTGGCGAGTGCAAAGGATATGTCAATATCAGCAGGTGTGACGGGATCGAAATCATGGGTCGGCGGCGCCTCATTAGCAGCACCGTCAGCCCCGATAGAAGCAACATCGTTAGCAGCAGTCTCGGCACCCGCAACAACACCATCAACTGCACCGTCAGCCTCATTATAAGCAGCACCGTCAGCAGTTGCGTCATGGGTACTAGTACCGGGTTCCAGCGGCGTCTGATTCGTCTTGGCGATGGCAATGGCACAGCTGCTGCTGCTGGGGTGGGGTGAAGTGGCACCTATGGAGTCCTGGGGTTCGATCATGGCGGCCGGGACATCACCATCGTATCTAGTGCGATCGCCAGCTACAGCAGCAGCAACAGCAGAAGCAGCAGCAGAAGCAGAAGCAGAAGCAGCGGCAGAAGCAGCGGCAGAAGCAGCAGCAGCAGCAGAAGCAGCAACACCAGCACCACCGGCGGCAGCAGCAGCAGCATCAGCAGAAGCACTCGTGCCAGGAGTCCCACACCCAGCGTCCCCGATCCCAGCGTTGGTACCAACACCAGCGCCGCCTGCTGCCGCTCCACACTCCTCCGTTAACTGCCGCAGCTTCCGGATAGACTCCCGTTGGCTAATGCCACCACCGTCGTTATAATCACCCTCTTCAGAGTCACCAGGGGAGGTGATAACGAAGTGATTCGCACTAAGCGATTTGAACCGCTTATTATACCCGTCAATGCTTCGAGCCTCAGCCCTGAGGGAGGTATTGCTAGTCCTCGTCCCCTCGGGTTCACCTCCCTGCCCCTCCTCCGCAGCATCGACCCAAGTGCTGGTTATCCCATCACTGGTTACCCACTTGTTGGTTACCAGACGGCTGGCGAAGGCAGCCCCTTCCCTGCTGCTCGCACCGCTGCTGGTTACCCTGTTACCATCAATCTCAGCAGTAGCAGCAAAAGCGAGGGCGCGTTTATATTGATCGCCGAACGTGAACGATCTGCTGGCTGCTGGTACCAACCACACCAGGCGAGGCCTGACAGCTGGCGGCTCGTTATAGTCACATGCCATGCTAGCTACGCCCTCACTGCCGCTTTCGCTGTTCCCCTCCTTCATGTGCCCCCCGATATAGTCACTTTTATGCCGAAGCTCCGCCGAGCCTCCAAGCGCTGGCGAGCCCTGTGGGTCCGTTGGGGAAGACAGAGGGGAGAGTGGGCGCTGGTGCGACTGCTGTGACTGTGGCGAAAGCATCTGGTGTGATTGTGACAAAAGGAGTTGGCTTGACCGTGGCGATGGGAGCTTGTGTGAACTATTGCGAGAAGGCGCGGCAGCGAGCGTGGCAGGCGGGGGAGTGGGAGGATCATGGGAAGGGGGGGCGGAACGATAAGAGGACTGGCGAAGGGACGGGGCGGACTTTTGAGTTGACGGAGGAGTGGGAGCAGCAGGGAGGTGGGCGGAAGGAGGGGACTGGTGGATGGACGGGGGAGTGGGTGGGAAGGGCCGCATGTGATTTGGCCCAAAAAAAGCGGGAGCGGAAGCAGATAGGACCGGCCGCTGAAATGGGTTAGAAGGAAGACGGGTGGTGTAAGCGTGGGAAGACCAGGGATAGGGGCGAATGGGAAGGAGCTGGGAGTGCAGCTGTGCTGGTGCTTCAAACGAAGAAGAGAGCAGCTGAGGAGGTGCTTCAAACGAAGCCTGGGCGGATCGGCCGGCTGCTGGTGAATCCGCTAGTAGAGCTGGGGTTTGGGGGAACTTTTGAGGCGCCTCAAAAGTCGCCTGGTTGGATCGGCCTGCTGCTGGTGAGTCGACTAGTAGAGCTGGGGTTTGGGGGAACTGAAACGGGTGCGGAAGAATGGGAAGACTTGGTTGCTGGTTGGCCCCGGAGCTTGGCAATAGGGGATTTGGGAGCTGGCCTTGTGGGGGAGGGGGAGGCTTGTAGGGAAGGGGAGGAGGCTGCTGCGTGGTTGGGGAAGGAGATTGAGGAGTACGAATGGGCTAGCAATGGGTAGGAATGGGCTAGAGGCGAGTGAGGGTGGTGCAGGGGCGAGAGAGTGTGATCGATGGGAGACACTGGGAGGGAGTGGAAGGAACGATGCACACTCTCTGCACTCTGTTTGCTCCCCTGAGACTGGGGAGACGGCTGCTGCTGCTGCTGCTGTTGGTGCTGCTGCCGCTGGTGTTGCTGCTGGTGCTGGTACTGCTGGTGGGGGTGCTGCAGGGTTGGGCGGGGTGGGATTTCGAGAGAAGGAAGCGGGTGGGAGAGGAGGGCCTGTCGCATCACAGAGGGGAGTGCCTGGAGCTGCTGCTGCTGGTGCCTCTGCTGCTGCTGCTGCTGGTGCCTCTGCTGCTGCTGCTGCTGGTGCTGGTGCTGGTCCGTCTGCTGCTGCTGAGTTTCTTGCTCTTTCTGCTTCAATTCCAGTTGCTTCTGCAGCTGCTGAAGCCGCCGCTGCTGCTGCTTCAGCAGTTGCTGCATCTCTTGATCCTTCTCCCACTGCTTGCTCCCAAGCTTTCCTCCCCTCAACTGGCTCGCATGCTCGCTCTGAGCCGCCTCCAGCTGCTTCTGTAGCAGCTGCAGCCGCTGCTGCAACTGCTGCTGGTTCTGCAGCAGCAGCTGCTGCTGCTGTTGCTGCTGTTGCTTCTGCTGCTGCATCGCTTGGTCTTCATCCGATTGGGAATTTTCATGCTTCTCTCCCATCCACTGGCTTGCCTCCAGCTGCTGCTGCAGCTGCTGAAGCCGCTGCTGGTTCTCCTGCCGCGCCTGTAGCTGCTGCAGTGCCTGTAGTTGCTGCTTCAGTAGTGCCTTCTGCTGCTGGCGCTGTTGTTGCTTCTCCTTCTCCTGCTGCTGCTGCTGCTGCTGCTGCTGCTGCTGCTGCTGCTGCTGCTGCTGCTGCTGCTGCTGCTGCTGCTGCTGCTGCTGCTGCTGCTGCTGCTGCTGCTGCTGCTGCTGCTGCTGCTGCTGCTGCTGCTGCTGCTGCTGCTGCTGCTGCTGCTGCTGCTGCTGCTGCTGCTGCTGCTGCTGCTGCTGTTGAAGCAGGAGCAGCTGCTGGTTTATCACACCCAACTGGGGGAGGGCCGAATCACCCCGCTGCTCTGCTGTGTGAGTAGCTTCGCGCACCATCGAACCTGGTTGGTTTGTGGCCTGGCTCGTAACGTGGCTCATGTCTTGGTTCGTGGCCTTATCTGTGATTCGACAGGGAGTCGCGGAGCTCGTTTGGAAATCGCCAAACCTCCGCTTGTACCTCCAACCAGCACTGTCGCCGAAGCTCTGTCGATCTTGTGGCGCCGTCGAATTCAACGGCAGGAAAGCACCTGCTGGATCGGTGGTGGTATCTGCTTGCAATAACACAAAATCAGCAGCAGCAGCAGCAGCAGCAGCACTGATGGTGTCAGGAGCAGCACCGGTGGTATCAGCACGCAGTCGTGAAGCATGGGGCGCCAGGATCGTTGCAAGAGGGGGAAAGCTACCTCCGACTGAAGGGAGTGCAGACGCCATTGTACCAGATGGTGCCTGCTCGGAAAAAGGTGACTGCCCGTAAAATGGTGACTGCCCGGAGAATGCTGGCTGCCCGGAAAACGGCGACTGCCCGGAAAATGTTGGCTGCTCGGAAATTCCTGGTTGTGTGTGGGAAGGCGGACTGTACACAGGGCGAAGTGCGGCAGAGCGAGCAGCAGAGAGTGCAGCAGGGAGAAAAGCAGAACGTGACACAGGCAGACCAGCAGGGAGCACAGCAGGGCGAGCTGAGGGAAGAGCAGCAGCAGCAGCAGCAGTGGCGGCGGCGGCGGGATCACCAGGGACCAGCGTAGGAAACTCATCCGGTTGGTAAAACCGCCCTCCTCCTCCTCCTCCCCATCTTCCTCTTCCGCTGCCGCGACCAATGCGAGCATCGTTCAGCGCACCGATATCGCTCCCACCAGCGCCGAAAGCACCCTCAAGAGCAGCGCCTCCCAAGCTGCTTGCACCAGCGTTCAGAGCCGCAACGGTGAGTGCGACGCTGTCGTGTAGTTCAGGCCAGTCCCTGGGCTCTCCCATTCCCAGGAACAGCCACTCGCATGCCGCTAGTGACAGGTGGCCGTACGTCATTGGTTCCGCCGCCGCTGCCGGTGCTTGAGGTGGTGATGCGTCAGGTGTTGCGTCAGGTGTTGCTTCAGGTGCTTCAGCAGATGCGCCTGCTCCTCCTGACATCTCTGGATTCTGGTGGTCGCTTCGCATGCTGACGCTGTCTGCCGCCCGTCCGCTGTCTGCCGCCCGCCCTCTTTCTGCCGCCCGTCCGCTTGTTGATGAGCCTTCCTTGTCTTGCTTGGGACTTCCAGGCCTCACCCCAGAGCAACGTTTGTCCCTTCCCTCTTGCCAGCGCCGGTGAGATTCAGTGAATTTCCTGCACGGTGGCGAGGGAAGATTTTGAGGGAAGAGGGAAGGGCACGTCTCGTTCGCACGGTGGACGATTTTGAGGGAAGACGAGGCGAGGTTTCAGTATGGGTCTTAGAAGGGCCTTTTAGGGGTTCAGGAGAGATTGGAGGTAGGTGGGAGGAAGGGTCAGAGCAGGGAGGTGCAGAAGTGTATGTGCACGATGCAAAGCTGTAGAGAGCTTGAGGTTGGGATTGGTCAAGCGTGTAATAGTAAGCAGGATGCGAACAACTGGTCGAGAATTTGGGTGGAGACGAAAGAGGGGAGGAAACTTGAAGGGGGGATGAAGGAATGTGGGGGAACAGGAGAGCGGGGGAACGTGGGAACGAGGGAATGGCGGCTGACTTCTTAAGGAAGAGGAAGCGGTTACAGCAGGACTTGTTGTCCCGGTGCGGCAGCAGGGAGCTCTTCTCGAGCGCGCCCCACTGCCGCGTGCCGTAGCGCAGTGCGTGGCGCAGTAGCGTCGCGTCCTCCTGAGGAGAGGGAAGGGGAGAAAGGGAGGATGGGGGAGGAGGATCGGGTTGTGAGGGAGGACAGAGAGGAGGGCGGCAGCAGGGAGCTCTTGTCCAGCGCGCCCCACTGCCGCGTGCCGTAGCGCAGTGCGTGGCGCAGTAGCGTCGCGTCCTCCTGAGAGATGGGGAGTGGGGAAGAAGGGTGGAGAAGGGGAAGAGGGGTTGGGGTAGGAGTGTGACGTCCTTCTACATGAGCGTAGATTAATCATGTAGGGGAGGAAAAGAGCAATAGTTTTGGAAAGGAAACTGGCAATTTTAGGAGACAACTGACGCCAGTGTATCAAGGGCGGCAGCGAATCAAGACCCTGCGACTGGCAAATCTTCAAATATCAATTTAGTAAGAGCTCAAAACAAATTGCTGCTTCTCTGGAAGTCGAGGGACCTAAAGCGGTTCTGGGCGCGAAACAAAAAATATGACTCCTAAAAAAAGCAGCGGTGGTGGTGGTATCATGCAAAACTGGTCTAGTACCTGTTTGGACCACATTCTAGTTGCTTGCATGGAGGGTTCTGCCGCTGCCGCGCCGCGAGCATCGTCGTCTCCCGCGCCGCGGATTATTACTGCATTTCCGCCACGAACGGCACACATCTAGCTCCGTTTTCCCCGCCTGGTGAGAAAAAATGGATAATTGTGCGAAGGCTAAAGCGCCGGTTAGGCAAGAAGTGAAAGTCGTGAGCTAGTGATTATTCGATGCTGGATCTGATGTGCTCGTGGAAATGAAACTCTACATGGAGGGCGAACAAGAATGGCAGTGAAGGTACGATTCTGATACATGTGTGGAGCGTCAGGGAAGCGCGATATCGCAGGGGTGTGTGCGTGTGATTCATCGTGTTCCAGATAACGCGCATAGCTGACAGCTGTAAGTATTTTTTTCCACTGCTGTAATATTTGTTGAGGGAGTTTGGTCCGTCACCCAATTGCACCTTGGTTTGTCAAATCCCTCCTTCCTTCCCTCCCACCCCCGTCCATCCAGCTTTGAACCGTCCAATGTGGTACACTTGCAGGTCATGTGGTGGACTGTTCTACCAAATCGAATAAAATGTTCGATTTGAATTCATTGCATGTGCACACACATCCTGACACTCTTTGTTCATGAGTCACCCTAAACGTTTTGATCTTCTTAGCGAAGGGCTATTGAATCTCCTTGTATGTGTCAATGTCGCAAAACTCAGGGCGGGTCCAACTTTGTACACTCCCGTTTTTTTCGTCATTTTTACGTCAATGGACTTGTCAAATTTGACTGTACCCCAGGGTGTACGCCTAACATTTCCTGTCCAGTTCGAGGTGTACAGTTCGGAACTATTGACGCAGTACAATAACGTTGCGAGGTACAGACCTGGGATTAAGGGTTACCAAAAATATCGAGAGTTTTCGCAGCTGTGACGGAGGGGGGAATTCAATGGCGAAAATCGATTTTACGAAAACGGGCGTTACTTCTTGACGTGTTTGACGCGAAACGAGTTGGGAGATGAATTGACGGTGAACCTTCGGTCGTGTTTTGCACGTCCCTGGGCACGTTTCCGAAATGTTATCATGTATGTACAGTCTCGCGTCAAAATGATTTTGTACGTTAAAAGTTCAGTTACATGCCTAAATGTGGTAACTGAGCTGAAAATTAATTGTTCATGTACAGAGTTGGACCCGCCCTCACTTTGTGATCGAGTTTCGTTGGGACTCCGTGTGCATTTCACCTCCTCGCGATCCCTTGCTTGGAAGTCTCTCGGGAAACCTCTCGGTGTACAGTAAACCAAATAAAGTTGATCGTTTTAGTGAATTGGTCTAGAGCGGGGAGCCACGGCATCGCTGCTGTTGACCAGATGCTGTACAGTACCCTACTGTACCAGGCAAGACAGGCCTCAATTGTGCCAGGACCGGCTTTCTTTTCTGTTCAATCGTGTACCTTTTCATTTCCACGCCCTATATTCCCACTTGTACAATTCATAGGCAGAGCTGCTAGTTTTATGTACTACAACAATTGGTAATTCAAATGTTTCTGTCTGCCCTTGAAATCCCTGAAAGGACGTAGGTTGTGCGCTGGCACACATCGGGTTCTTCGTGTTGTACGCTCTATGTTTGCTTGCAACCTGCAGTTCAGGACGGCTCGTGATCCACAACTGTCGGTCCCAAGGAATGCTGGCCTCATTGAATCATCATCACTATTCAAGAATCACGAACCGGAAGTGTAATGCACTTCTGGGGCAGTTCGGAGGTGTATCAAAGCAACAGAGCTGAAAGGGTGGATTCGAGCTGTAAACTCCCTCACCTCCAGAACGGTTTGCTGGAGCCATGCAGTATGCTGCTTATGTAAAAGTACATCCCTCTGGGATTGTGGGGGAGACTTGTGGGAATGTTGCTCTTCTCCGCTTGCACCAGCCAAGACGCTGGGTGGCAATCACATGGGCAAACTGGCCTTGACGTTACCTCAGCAGCAGTAGTAGGACCCGTGAGTGAGTGAACGTGAATGTATGCCCCGATAGACCGCTGGCTCGCTGTGTGCTTCTCGAAGCTTTGGAATATTTCCCACTTGCTGATTTGTACTCAACTGGGTGGATTCACGTGTTGGGCATTGCGCTGCATGCCTACAATATGTTGTTGACCGATTGTAGGGCTGCACAACATCAAGAAACGGAAACTTGATATTGTTCAAGATCTCAAGTCTCCATCATTTTTCGACTAACCCCAATACGTACACAAGATGCACACTAGAATGCAAGGTTTTCGCCAAGGTTTACACTGAACCGAACACATGAGCTTCACCTGGGTTTAGGGTGACTAACTAGCGACATTGGTTGCATTTGTGTTGTCCACTGGTTCCCTACTCTTGGGAGAATCAACGCAAACGCCATTTCATGAATCTGACTCTAATCATTTTGTGCATTGTTGCCAATGAAAAAGCTGTCAGGTTGCACAACGCGCTTTCTTATTATTGGTTCTTTGAACCGGTCTTGCCAACTTAGTGACGTATGAAGATTCTGCATTCAATGCACCACGAGATTTATAACGATCAAACAAACCTGCAATATTTCAGAACCAGCCACTTATGCTTCGTTATGCTTTCTCAAACAAGGAATGTAATCCACCTTAGAGGCGTAACAAACTGACAACTCCAAAAGATGTTTCGTTATGCTCCCCATTATAAAGAACTACGATGCGATTCCCCCTGTTCAGCCACGACAGAGCATAAACTGAGGGGCCGCAATCTGGTGTCCTACCTCTGCTGAGGGTGAAACGACGATACATTACTATCACTGTTCTATCGAAGATGACTGGATCAAGTGAACAAGGGGAAAGAAAAAACAGAGCCCCTTTCTACAGCACAAGGCGGTCACGCGCATAAATACAATTCGGCGAGGCAATATGCGGGTTGGCTCTCAGAATTTCCGCAACAGTACACCCCTCTCTCACTGCAATCCCAGAGAGCGTTTCTCCCGGCTGCACCTCATGCGCCCGGCCTCCAACCCTCCCAAGAGAGCCGCCACCACCCACACCCCTCCCTGCAACCTTAGCTGTACCCTTTCCTGCACCCTTTTCTGCAACCTTTGCTGCATCCGTGGCTGTGGCTGAGTGGCCTCCCTTGCCACTGGTCCTAGGCACGCCACTCAAGGGAGTTTGCGTCGATTTAAGGGCCCTTGGCGGTTGTGTGGATCCACCGGCCAGCAGCGTTTCGATTGACTCTCCCGCCAGCTCTTCGGATATCCTGAAAGCCGGTCGCCTCTGCCCTGCTGATGTCCCCCCTGTCATGGCCCCAGCTCTTCCCCCTGCTGCTGCTGCTACAGCCGCCCCTGGAGCTGCAATGGCTGACCTGGCATCGCCCCTGCTGCTACTGCTGTCCCTATTGCTGCTGCTGACCCTCTCCTGGGTTGCTCTCCTTACAAGGAGTTCCGGTACAAGCTGCTGCTGGGACTCTTTCTTGGGAGGGCTTGAGAACCGGTGCGAACCACTGCTGCTGCTGCTGCTGCCACTGCCATTGTCTCTGCCACTGCCACTACCATTGCCTCTGCTTGATCCCTTGCTGCTGCTGCTGCTGCCTCGCTCACATGCCCCATGGTTGCTCAACCTGCTGTTGCTGCTGCTGCTGACGGTCCCTCGTGTGGCATTTGCACCAGTCGCCTTGCCGTTGCTGCTGCTGCTGCCTTTCCCTCGTGCGGCATTCGCACCGGTCGCATTGTTGCTGCTGCTGCGCTCACAGGCACCTTTTCGCCCCTGGAACGGGTCAATGGTCAGGTGGGCCTCATCAAACGGGGCCCATTTGTCAAAACCCTCAGTGCCCACGCTTTCCCCAGCCAAGGTCTTTCCGTTGGGACTGGCTTCAGGAAAGGAGCGTGGCCCTCTGCCTGCTCCTGCTTCCCCTGTTGCCCCTGCTGCCCCACCTGCAGTCCTTCTGCCTGCTGCTTCTCTCACTGCTGTCGCTGACGCTCGGACTGCTGTATGAGACGAAACCGGTCCTATGCTTGCTGGTCTGCTCTGAACCACTGTTTTGGTGTGGACCGGGGCGGGCTTGCTGGTGACGGCAGCAATGAACGACATCATCTCCTCCTCATCGTCGTCGTTGTCCCCGTACTCGTTATAGGCAGGCCCCAGACAGCGCAGGAACTCCTCCTCCACCTCCACGGCCTCCTTCTCAAGCTCCTTGAATCTGCTGACAGTGCAGTAGGGGTTCAATGAATAAAGGCCTAAACTTAGCAAGAATATTTGGAAGAAAACACAAAGTAGAACAGAAAGCAGAACAGAAAGGTACTGAGGCTTGCAAAGCGATTGTAAGCTATAAGAGTAGAAGCTATTCAAAGGCTTCTTATTCTTGCCACCCATCAACACTCACCTCATGATACATCGCTCATTATCATTCACCACCGCTCATTACCGTTCACCACCACTCAGCACCACTTTACCTCTCATCAAACTCCTTCTCAGTGAGCTTCGCGCCAGTGGGCATAGAAGCCAGCCAGTGGGAAAACCCTCCCTCGGATTCCACCTTCCCTACTGCTGACTCCAAACCCGCTTCAGCTGAGCCCTTCCCCTTGCCTTTGCTCCGTGAGTCACTGCTCCTCCTCCTCACATTCTCACTCTCCCAATCGCTGCTCGATCCGGTCGATCTCAGCCGTTGATGGCGCTGAGCTGCCATCACCACCGCTCCCCCCACCAGCACCGCCGCCCCTGCTGCTGCAAGCAACTGCCATTTCCGAGCCCCTAACCCCCTCCCCTGCTGTTCCCCCTGCTGCTGCTCTAATAAACCCAACTCCTCCTGTTGCTGAAGTTGCCCCATCCGCCCCCCTCCGCCCCTCCTACCCATAATGGTTGTGTCAGGGAGGGACTCCGGTTCGGATGGGTGGAAAGCGGTGGGAGGGGAGATGGAGCGCAGAGGGGAGGTATGTGTGCGTGGGGGTGTTGGCTGTCTGGGTGTGACTGTAGCGGGTGGGGCCTGTGTGGGTGGGAAGAGGAGGGATGAGGATGGGGGAAGAAGGGAAGAGGGGAAGGATAGGGAGGAGATGTGAGAGGGAGAGAAAGTTGAGTTTTACGGAGAAATGCGCATGGCTTACCCTTGCACCACACCGCTTGCATAACAGCACACACCTTGTGCACTGCATCACATTCCATTTGCACCGCAGTGCACGCCATCACAAACCCTCTTCACCGCAGTGCACCGCATCACATACCCTTTGCGCCGCAGTAACCGAGGCCGACCTCCGCCTCCCCCGAACAGCCTCTGCTGGCCCTCCCCCCTCCCTCACCACCCACGGAGGCACCCGAGCTAAAATGCCAACACAAAGTACCATACACAACACATGCTGTACTCTTTGCACCGCAGTTCACCTCATCACATACCCTTTGCACCGCAGTAACCGAGGCCGACCTCCTCCTCCCTCTTACAGCTTCTGCTGGTCCTCCCCCCTCCCTCACCACCCACGGAGGCACCCGAGCCGGGGATCGCGACCGGAGCACCGCCTGCTGCTCCGGGCCGAGCCAAGTCGGCAGGTTCGGCAGATAATCACCCCTGACAGACCTAGAAACGCCAGCAGGAGCAACCCCAGCACCAGCACCACCAGCACCAGCAACACCACCACCACCAGCAGCAGCTGCAGCAGCAGCAGCAGCGCTAGATGCTTGCCACGCAGCGACAGAGGAGGAATGAGAGAAGCGGCGAGAGGGGCTGGATGGGCGAGGATAGGCCGGTGCCCACCACCGGGGAATGCCGCGATCCGCTGCTGCCCCCTGCCCGGCTGTAGCGGCTGCAGCAGCTGTAGCGGCTGTAGCAGCAGCGGCAGCAGTGGCACTAGTTACAGTGGCGGCACTAGAAGCAGCGGCAGCACTAGTGGCACTGGCAGTGGCAAGGGTGAGAGAAGAGGCAGCACTGGTGGGAGTGGCGAAGGAGCGAGAGGAATTGAGGGATGATGCGAGGGAGGATGCGGAGGGGAAGGGGGAGAGGGGAAGGAGTTGGTCCGGTTCGGGCAGGATAGAGGGGCTTGGGGAATCAGAAGCTGGGGAGGCGGAGAGGGGGGAGGCGGAGGGGGTGGGGGAAGGCGAGGGGGAGGGGGAGGCGGAGGGGGAAGCGGAGCAGAGGGAGGGAGCTGGGGGGGAGGGAAGGACCTCACTTGGAGGATTGCCAAACGTGGCTGGGGAGCGAGAGGAAGCAGCAGGCGCAGCAGCAGGAGCAGTGGCAGGGGCAGCGGCAGGAGCAGTGGCAGGGGCAGCGGCAGGAGCACTGGCAGGGGCAGCGGCAGGAGCACTGGCAGGGGCAGCGGCACGAGGAGGGAGGTGAACGGAGGAGTTGGAAGCGGTCAGAGGGGCAGAAACCCGTGGGGAGGGTGGTTCTGGTGGTGGTGGGGAGATGGGAACCAGGGAGGGTAGACTTGGTGACGGTGGGACTGGCTTAGGAGGCGGTTCTGCTGGGGAGGGTGCAACTGGGGAGGGTGCAACTGGGGAATCTACAACTGGGGGGGGTACAACTGGGGGGGGTACGGCAGGGGAGGGTACAACTGAAGGGGGTGCAGCAGATACGGTAGCAGATTGGGAAACAAAGGCAGCTTGGGAGGGCAGAGCTGGGGCGGGTAGATCAGGGGGAGGAGCAGCTGGGGGGGGCGGTGCGGCAGGGGAGGGCAGAGCAGGGGGCGGCGGGGCAGGGGAGGAAAGTGCTGGGGGCGGTGGGGCAGGGGAGGGCAGAGCTGGGGGCGGTGCAGCTGGGGCTGGTTTTGATTGAGAGGCGGAGGAGGAGAGGGAGGGCGAGGGGGAGAGGGCGGCGGTGGTGTGTCGGATGGTTTTGGATACAGACGACATGAGCCGGTGGCGTGTTGCTGACGTGGCAGTCACCATGCTGCCCTCAAAATCCTGGATAGGGTCCGAAAAGGGAAGGATGAAAACATTTTCAGAATTCTCAAAAGGGCGGAGGAGAGACAACTGGTGAGTTGACTCAAAAGTCAGAGTCACATGCTGCTCTTAAAGCCCTTGATAGGGTTCCAAAGAGAAGAAAGAACAAAAGGCGAGGAGAGGTGTGATAACCAAGGGAGCAATAATATAGGGTGTGACAATACAGCGGGTGTGCAATGGAGAAAGAAGAGGAGGAACAGGAGCAGGAGAGCAGTGTCATGACATTGGGGTGAGCGGGTGTGCAATGGAGAAAAATACAAAACAGATCTTGCATTGTATCCAATCGATCTTTCTTCCGCTTTGCTCTTACTTTGCTGGCTTCCCTGACCTTGCATTGTATCCAATCATTTAAATTGTTTTGACTAATTCAAGTTGGAGACGCGTTTGACCCGCGTTGACTCGGCTGACTCACCTTGATTCCGATGGTGCGCTTGCTGAGGGTGCGCAGGCACAGGTACACCCGCCTCAGATCCCGCCTCTCCACCAAATCGGGTGGGGTAAACACGTTAACGTCGTACAGCCCTATGCTGCGACAGATCTGCACACCGCAAAGGGTTTGGGGAGGAACGGGGTGTGGGAGAGAGGGGGGAGGGGGGTGTGGGAGAGAGGGGGGAGAAGGGGGGGAAGTGAGGGGGGTGAGGGAATGGGATGATACATCAGGAGCGGTGAAGACATTTATATCGTACAGACCTATGCTGCGACAGATCTGCACACCGCAAGGGGGGACGGGGGAGGAAAGGGGAGGAGTGGGGTGTGTGAGATAGGGGGGAACGGCGGGGTTTGGGGGGAAACTAGGCGAGGCAGGGGAGGAGGGAGTGGAGGTTTGACCACAATGGCACAGATTTCCGCAGGAAGTGGGGAACAAGAATAAATGGGGGGAGGGCGGGGGAGCGGGAGAGGGGAGGGGAGGGTTGTGGAGGAATGGGGGAGGGTGGCGGAGGGGAAAAGAGAGAAGGCTCTTTCGTTGTGCGATCTGCATTGCCACAGTTGAGAGCGCTCATTCAGCATTCAGTGCACTCCCAACTCTCGCAAACCAAACCCACTCTCCCGCCCCCATTCTCCCCTCGCTTGCCCCCACAACTTTCCCCGTCTTCCCATCCCTTCCACCCCTTTTCTCCCCCCACCCAGACCACCCCCTTTCCTTCCCCCCCCCCCCGTTATAATCACCTTGAGGAACATCTCCACCTTCACGCATGCGCGCCAGAACGCCATATTCCGCCCCACTTCCGCGGACGGCGCTTCCCCCTCCCCCTGCTCCGCCTCCCCTTCCCCCTCCTCCCAATCCTCCCCCTCCTTCAACCCCGCCCCGCTTCCGCTCTTTCCCCCGCCCCATCGCGCAAAAGAGCCCGCCCCCTTCCCCCCGAGCGCCCCTCCCCCTTCTCCCCCTCCCCCCGCCTTCCCCATAACCAGCCATCCCCTGGCTGCGCGCTGAGCCGCCCGCCCCACCTCCACACTACGGGGATGGGGGGTTGGGGGGAGGGGAGGGGGAGAGGGAAGGGCGAAAGGGGGGAGAAAGGGGGGATGGTGGTTGGGGGGAAAGCGGAAATGGGTAGGTGGGAAAGCGACTGGGGGCTACGGAATGGGCAAGAATGGCGGAGAGCGGGCGGGATGACTGATCGAGCGAAGGGAGGGGGAGGGGAGAGGGGAGGGGGGAGGGGGGAGGGGAGTGGGACGGGTGGGGAAGGGAAGAGGGGGGAGTGAAAGAGAGTGGAGTGGCGAGAGGAAAGGGAAGAGGAGCGCGTGCAAAAAGACTGACAGTACGGAAGGAAGCATCAGAGAAAGCGATGAAAGTCGGAGATTATAGAGAGGCTTGCTAAGTGTAGGCAAGATTCACTAAACATAATGAGCACACGTCCCGGCGGATATCAAAGAAGGTTTGGGTTGACTAAACACACACCCGAATAGGAAGCGGACTCACAGCATCTGCCCGTCCTCCAGGATATCGGGGAGCGAGCGGTCCGCTGGAAGCTGCCGACCCAAGACACGCTCGATCCACGCCCGAGCCTGCGACTGAGGTACGGCAGCAACGAAGCGCGGGGAGCAGGAAGAAACACGACTTTGCAGTTTCCGCAGCGGCCGAGGGATGGATAGGGATGAGGTTGCATGGAAACGGAGAGGAGAGAAGACAGAGAGAAACGAAGACTAGATAGGGGGAAGTGGCAAAACGAACAGGCCAGCTGATTAACTAGCATGGAAGGTAACCATGGAAGAGCGCCACGTGACTGCGGTACCTCGAGAACGGTAACGTCCTCCTCTGCAGTCAAGCCGCCGCCCGAAGCGCTGCTCGCTGACGAGCCGGCACCAGCGCTGCTTGCGGCGAGCATCGCGGCGCGAGACGGCGACCCGGCAGCGCCACTTTGTGCTGCCTCGGATGCCACCATGATGTGCGTTATGTCCGCAGGGTGTTTTTGAGTATTCTCAGAAACAACGGGCAGCGTCACTTTGTGCTGCCTCTGATGCCACGATGATCCGCGTAGGCCCCTTACGTACGCTTACTTTTAGCCTGCTACCCTTGATACGCTTGCCATTAGGTTTTCATAAAGGCTTGTTAGTTTTTTTTTTTCTTACTAAACTTTCATGTAGGCTCGTTCATTAGGCTTGTCACTAGGCTTCTATGTCGACTTGTTTGCACGTATTCTGCGATCGGCCGTGAGGCTTTGGTCCTCCTAAGAACAAACGGTTCCGAACGTCGCTTCTATTTTTACGTATTGGGGTTAGCGCGAGCTCCTCGCGGCTCGATTTTTCTAAAGACGAAACATTCCAGCTTACGGTATATCACAATAGTGTCACTTGAAACTAGGCTTTCTTCAGACTCATTTATTACGTCGCTACATAAATAATGCCTACTTTTGGTCGCCGCCTCCAATCTTTCTAATGCGGCGAACCCCCACTAATGCGGCTTCCTACGAGATGAAACAGTGTCCTACGTAACAAGCAGCACAGTGGCAAGTATAGATTATAGAGGTATAAATGGCGAGCACAGCACAGTGCAGTTTAGGGCTGTCGGGACTCGGGAGCGGAATTGGAGTTGGAGATCTACGGTGAAAATTGTCGCTAAGCACAGCGACGCGGGATGAAACCCTCGGGTGGTTCAGCGTGGCCCACGGCGCACAATGGGGCTCTGCGGCTGCGCTTTCACTAGCGAGAGTCGCGGCGGCGGCTTACGTGGTAGGGAACGATACCCTGACCCCGCTCAAGCGCGGACCAATGCTGACTAAGAAGGGCGGAAGAGGGAAAACGAACAATCGCGGGTATAGTACGGTTCCGTAAGTTCCTTTGCGTTATAGAACGTTTGCTAACTGATCAGAGAGCCATGTTTTACATTTTGAACTCGCAGGGGGAATTTCGCCCCTCGCAAATTGATTGCCAAAGCAGTGACCAGCAGTTGTGGCGGGGTGCGAAAGCAAACTGGGGGAACGAGCGGAACGAAGGGAACCACAAGGGGGAGTCAGACGGAAATTGGCGCGAAGTTCTGTGCGATCCGCCACTTTGTTGGGTGCGACAGCTGGCATGAAAATGGAAGAAATGGAAGTGTAGCAATTCGCTATGACAATCAGGCAGGCATCTCATGCACAATGTAGATTAAGGTTCCACAAGAGAACTTATTGCCAAGACATGCTTCATATGGAAAACAACATTTTATATAACCAAGAAGCACTGCCCGCCAATCTGAAGCCAAAATTGGGCAACTGGGAGGATGCGCTGACTACACCATGATCAGCTATATACCACATGCACCAGCCTAATTCTGCAATCTCTCCTTTCTAGCTGCAGCAGCAGCACGCCTGGAAGCCACATTTTGCACCGCCCCTGCAACCACCAGCTTCATCCGCACCCCTGCCTCCACTCCACAGATAAAAGCCAAAGCAGTTGTCGCCACCACCCATCCCACCCTCACCGCTCCCACCTTCCCTCTCCTCTCCTCTCCCCTTGCATCACCGCCCATAACCGGGCCACTCCTCACTGTCACCTCGCTCTCCTGATCACAAGAATCGCTTCTTTCCTGCTGGGCCGATCCAGACCGTCGCCTTCCTCTGCCATCTCCAGATCCGACGGTTGAGCCTTCACCTGGCGACCGGGCACCAGCACTGCCTGAACCACTCGCAACCACGACTTGGCTGCTGCCTGCCCTGCCACTACTACCCTGCCCCTCCCCCTCTGCGGCTTGATCCTCAACCCTCCTTCCCTTCTCCCTCTCCTCCTCCTCCTCCTCCTTCCGCTCATCCTCCTCTGCCCCTCCCCTCCTCCTCGCCTCCCCAGCCATCGCCAAATCTGAAAAGCTCACCCATTTCCTCATCCCCATCCCGCCTTTCTTCTTCAACCCTCCCTTCCTCCCCACCCCACCACTCCCCTCCCCACCACCTCCCGCACCCTCCTCCCCATCCTCCTCCCCGTCCCGGCTACTCCCCGGCGACGGCACAATCGGCGTGTGCAGATTTGCCAGCGAAACACACCGGGACAGCGGCCGTGCCGCCTCCGCACGCTGCTTCTCATACTTCCGAATCGCCGGCTCCATTTTCCTCACAGCGCTCCACATGCCCTGCCGCACGCCCAGCTTCGCTATATCCCTCTGCAGCCCCATCTCCTCATGGTGAAACAGCATGACCTCCGCTGCGTTGCTGCCCTCGGCGCCAATCACGGGGCGGATGCGCCAGCTGGAGTAGAAGACTTCGACGCGGCGGGGTTTGTCGCGCTTGGGGACCTCGGGGTGGTGCACGCCCTTGGTGATGCAGTAGAATGTGTCGTCGTGCGACCAGATGCGCCGCGCTATCACATACTCGCGGTCCTTGCAGAAAAACGGAAACTGCAGTACGGAGGGGTAGGTATGCGGTACGAGTGAGGCAGGAGAGGACAGGAGTAGGCAGGGATGGGACAGGAACGGGTGGAGCGCAACGAGATTGAGGCGAGTGGAGTGATCGAAAGAAAAACAGGGAGAGTGGGGAAGCAACGAGGAGGGTCCAGAACAATATAATCGCAATTTCTCACCCTTCCCTAACACTCCAGGCCATCTGTCACGCGCGGCACAGACAGAGACACAAAGACAACACAGCAACCCACCTTGCGGACCCAATGCACGATCTGGAAGCCGGTGCGCTCGCACGCAGTGATGGTGCGCGCCTGCACGAGCATGTCGTCCCACGCCGCGCGGAACTCGTCGTCCCAAAAGAAGTCGCGCATGAGCGCCGACGAGCACCGCTCCATGACTGTGCGACTGCGGTACTCCGTGGGGCCTTGCTGTTGGGGGGAATGGAGGGGGACGAAAGAGGAATTAACGGGGAAAGAATGGGGAAGGGAAGGGGACACATCAGCGGGAAAAGGAAGTGGCGGAGAGGAGTTAGGAGACCACGCATGAGCGCCGACGAGCACAAGGCCGCGCGACCTGTTCTCAAAAAAATAAAAAAAACTCACCTCGGGGTCCCGTCGCCAGCCCGTGTACTGCATCCCCTTAGCGGTCTTCTCCATCATCGGCTGCCACTCCGGCCCGCCGTCCTTGCCCTCCACCTTGGCGCAAAACTCCTCCAAGTCATCCTCGGTAAGAACTAACTCCATATCCTCTTCCGATACGCTGTGCTCCGCGCCGTGCCCGTGCTTCTGCCCGTTCCCGTGCGCATGCCCGTTGGTGTGCCCGTGCACGTTACGGCCGACCTCTAGCAGCTGAAGGTTTCCCTTTTGCAACGATGACGGGCGCGAGCCCTTGCTCCGCGACTGCACAGACGGCCTGCGGCGATCAGGGGAAAACCAGGGATGCGAGGAGAGGGGTTAGGATACGTCGGCGGACGGACTTGTCCAGGAAAAGGCAGACGGAATTGCGAAAGTCGAAGGGAGGGTGGCACCAGACGAAATTGTAACACGATGAAAAGGAGTCGTGCGAGAGGCAAAAGGAAGGAAACGTGAAAAAGTTGAGCGGAACGTACTCTTCACTGACAGCTTCCTTGCTGACAGCCTCGCCGTTCACTTGACGCTCCCGTCTGCTATCCGCAGCGCCGCTCGCGAGACCAACTACACGGTTACCGTTACGACGTTCGCCAACCTCCTCCGCACCTTCCGGCCTCCTCGCTTCAACACCATCGCTCCCCAAAGCAACTAATTTTGATTTCCCAGAGCCACCCACCCTCTCAGCCGCCCGCCAAGGCAGCACCTTCTCGCCCAGAGAGCTCCAATCTCTCCCAAAAAGCACCCCTACCGCCTGAAACCCCGGCTCCTTAGCTCCATTAATTCCCTCCTTTACTCCCGCTGCCGGGAATCCCGGAACCTGCACGTGACCGCACGAATCTAGCATGGCCTGTCCCCATGACCACCCCGCGGACCACGCCTCCTTGAACGGCCCGCCGGTGAGGAGCGACAAGAAGGCGGAGGAACGCGGGTCTGACGAGAGGGAGCTGACCCACCGCGGCCGCCATGACCACCCGAGGATAAGGCCGACTACGACGGCGAGCCAGAGCGGCGCGACGACGGAGAGGAGCTCGAGCATGAGCTCCGAGGAGCTAGTATGGCTCGCGCCGCTTGTGAGCATGTGCACGAGCCGACTGCTGCTACTGCAGCTGCCAATCCCAGGAGACGCCATGTACGAGCAGGAGAACAAGTGAGATAAAGGCCTAATTCAAGTTCCCTGTGGCGTCGTGCTTGGTAGCCGATTCAGCAAACGAGTTACTTTGGCGAGCTAGCAGCGACGCAGTTGTCAGCGAACAAGAGAAAAGAACGGCTTTGGTTTTCCGTTGTCGAAGATATACGTGCATCAAGACAATTATTCTGCCAACCCTAGTCTCAACCCAGAAGCACGTGGTCCGATCAGAGCAAGACACGCAGAGAAGTTTCTTGTGCTTGTGTGGTGTCGTGTGCTGCCAATTCCCTTCCTGTGTCGTGTCACGCTGGCTGAGCTAATGGTGGAAAAGAAAAGTAGTGGACTTCCTTGCAGTGCACACGAATCACCCCGTCAGCGGATCAACAGACAGCCATGGAAAACGTTCACTAGGAGTCAGCACCCATCAGAAACTGTCATCACACGCGGAAAGAAGCAAGGAAATAATCACGTCCGTGTCTCTAGGGGGGACGTCTCTTCAAGCTTGGTGAGGAGGAAGAACCAGGGCAAAGGAAACAAGTGTGACGGGGATTCACGGGGGCAGCTGATAGAAAAGAGGTGAGTGGAGGTCTGAAAACGAAGTAAAGAGCCGTTGGCTGGATGAGATGTGTGGTAGAGTGTAGAATACGCAAATTATGTTTCGATTTTACCAAGGTTGGATAATTAACGGGCAGAGGGAAACGTTTTGCTGGTTCTCAGTCCCCCCCCAAACTTTGCAAGTTTGGGCAGCTGGCAAGGCAAAAGCACAAGTGATGAAAATCGATTTCGTGTCGCGTAATTGAAGCTCCCAATCTCAAGGGCAGACCGCTTCCGACGGGAGCGATGGAGGCTTCCTGAAATGGATGCGAGAAGAACTCACAGCCTTCGATTCAAATACGTGGCAATACGGACGTTCAAGATAGCTTTATTGGATTTGGGTAGGACATACATTAGGAACCTTGAGAATTCCAGCCACTTAGACCTTGCTGCTGATATCATCCACCGTCAGCAGCTTTCAACGGTGCTGAACGTGGACGGGCGGCTCGCATTGCGTGTGCCCCACCACCGTCAGCAACGAATCAGTATCAAGAACTGTGGATAACAAACCAAACCAAATAACCCGTCGAACTCGCCAAGGACGGCATCGACAGTGAGCAGAGCATGGCCATACTAGAAAGCCATATAATTGAGACAAAATGTCCGATTTATGGTTAATGTGGTTATGCGTTCATGTTAGTTGTCTGAGATTTACTGGAAGGATAGGCATGGTGAATAGCAAGAGGTTGTTGGGGCGGGGTGGGTGTAATCATGGGTTGTTATGCCGTATTTGGTAGACTTGAGTGTGTAGAGTGCTTCGAGAGAATCTTTGTTTTGGGGGGTTGTTAGGGGATTGGTAGAGATTGGCAGACGACTAGAAAAGAAACGTGCAAGTCAGTATTGTAATAAATTGAATGGAATTTGTTTTTCACCGCGCGTTGAACAGCTGTGTTTGCATGTGCAGTAGCAACATGGTCATACAGGCCTGCTGGGACCTATTACTTTTGTTTTGTCTTCTCAGGTTTTAAGGACTTTTTTTTATTCCACGTACTCTCGCTTACAACTCGTAACAAGAGCCATGCAGCGGGTACGTTTAGTTGGTGGACAGCGTTGGTCCATGTAGGCGCAATTGTGGGGCTCAGTGATGTTGATGTGTGATGCGAGATAGTTGGGGAACCGTGTGAAACATGTGCCGGAACTCCTTCTTGAAACGGCACGTGTCAATACGGATGTACGAGCATCCACCTGTCCAACACTTTTCGTCACATGTACAACCCTGAGTGGACAATTCTGGGAAATTTGAAACCGTTCCTTGCTGATAGTGCAAGCTGGGCTGAGGGATGTCCACCCTGGAGCCCAACTGGAAGGCTGTAACTGGAAGGACGACGATTCGGTAAATAGAAGGGGAATTTCTGACTTTCCCAGCCAATCCTGCAGCAGCGCGTAACGGTTCCACACGACGTTCAACTGGAACTTGTAGATTTTTTTGCTCATCCGATTCCGCATCACACCCAGACTTCGTGTGCCACGCAGATGCCAGCAGGAGTAGTTTTTTTATGCAGATTCACCGCGTGGAAGGATGGGAGGTGCGGCAAGTTGTTGGGCAGGCCACCATATTTACGAAGCCTTTTCCAACAGCCCGTGATCTAAAAGCAGATCGTACCACTGCACTTTCCAACTGTTTCGCAGCATGAGCCTCAATGGTCCTCCTTTTTAGGGTTGTGACGCCCAAGCGTGTCAACTGTCATGCCGCTGTACGATCTACCTCCCAGCTCATCGTATCAACTCCAACTGGGTACCCGACTGTTATGCGTTCTGGGTCCTTCGTTGTGCGGTGCCCCAGTTTTCCCCCACAAAGCGCTACGGTTCTGCGACTCAGGCTCCCCATCCCAACCGCGCCCGAGTCGGTGAGCGGTGGAACTCGGCGAAGTACAAAAAGGGGATGTGTGGCTGAACATTCCAATTCAACTTCTGCTTCCTCCATTCGTCACTATTGAGCTACTATTGTTTACCTACACGGACTATCTCCTCCTCTCTGCGCCCATAGCCTAGCCACAGTTTCGACAAGAATAGCTTCAGCGATGCCGACCACCATATCTTCGAGCGTGGGTGTTCCCAAGCGTGACGTAGAACCATGGAGCACAAACTTCAACCTCGATTTCCACTCGCCGAAAGCCGCAAAAAGGTCGCGCCGCCTCTCCGACGCTTCGAACGACCAATTATTCAGCGACAACGACGCCGTATCTGACTGCCTGACGGAGTTGACGTTAGGTCCTCCGGAACCTCCGGTAGTAGCTGCAGAAAAGCCGTCGCTTTCAGATTTAGGCGACGATTTGCTCCTTCACATTTTCCAGCTCGCCCAGCCCACCGCCTGGGACCTCTGTCGTATGGCTTGCGTGAATAAGACGTGGCGAGAGCTCTCTTACAACCAGATTTTCTGGACGAAGCTTCGGATTGGTCCTGGGAGTATGCGTCCAGGAGTGGAACAACTCGCAGCACGGTGCACGAACCTGGTGGAGCTGCATATTGACGACCCTCGCTGCGAGCTGCATGTGCTCCATCCGATCATCATGGCTTGTGGAAGCTCTCTTCGTCGAATCGTTATCGACTGTGACCGGGATAACACGAGCCGCAACGAGGCGTCAATCTGCAGCGTTCTTTGGATCGTAAGGTGCGTTGAGTTCAGTCGCAGATTCTGAACTTCCAATATCATGCGGAATTTCGCACGAGTGCTTCCCTGTTTATGGCTATGCAATTACCCTCTTTCTGTTCAGGACCTCACACAGCCTTTGTTCTGTTTTCGTTTGCAGCTTGTACTGCAGCAATGTCGAAAGCGTGGAGCTCATTTCAGACGGAAAGCAAGGGAACTTCACGTATTTGGAGAACAAGGCCATGTGGTACCTCACTTCCGGATTCCGCCACATCCGCAGCTTCGCCTGCTTGTGCCAGAACAGCCTGTCGAAGCAAGCCATTTACCTCATGGTCATTGCATGGCGGGAATTGACGTGCCTTCGCATTCACTGCGGAGCTCTTGGAACAGACGACCTGATGGCTCTGCGAAAATGCTACTCTCTGCGAGTGCTGGAGCTGGTTGGTGGTAACCTCGGGAATCTCATCAGCAGCACCAGCGAAGCTGTCATGCATCGAGACCTCGAGATCCTGGTGTTGACGAAGATGGTATGTGGCCTGGAGGACATCGCCAAAGTTTCGCTGCTGTGTCCCAATTTGGCGAGGGTTGTTGTGCGAAAGTCCTCGTTACTCGTTGGTGGTTTAATCGACAACCCAGTGGTCCAGGCGAAGGCCATTGAGGATTTGCGACAGTGGCTACTTGTGCAGCGAAATGTCGAGCTTGTCGTCGACGAGTCTTGAGCCCACATGCAAGACCACCCCTGTCATCCATGCAACACAGGAGTTGGTGGCTTTGGGAATCGCAGGCAGATGCCGTGGCGAATTGCGCATTGTGGCTTGCGAAGAATGAAGAACGCGGGTCTACGACAATCGTTTCCGGGTGTATTCTAATTGGTCACACACGAAGAACGCGAACTCGTGTTTTTCCTTGCATCGCGTATCCCTGACCTTGTCGCACTCTTGCACGGGAGAGTTCCTGCCCTGGACTTGCAGCTGATTGCTGATTGGGATGCGACACCGAAACTTGTGATGTCAATCCCCAACCAAGGAGCGTTCTGCCAATCAGCAAGTGTTCCGTCAACTGATCAACCAACAGTCATCGGGCGTTGGGCGAAGTCCTTCCTGCACGCGAGAGTTCCTGCCCTGGACTAGTTGCTGGTAACTGGCAATCTTTTCGTTTCCGCGTTGTTGCGAACCCTCAGATGGCAAACCCAGCCAGTGGCAAGCAACCAATCAAGCAAGCAGCCCGCCATCAAAGGATGACGAAGCCTGATTCCCAAGGAAACCGTGTTTTACAGCTGAGCCCGATTCTAGAAGCTTTCAAGCCGTCTGGTCTGGAGGACAGGGTTGTTGCTTGATTCTGCACCTACTCTTGATTGAAATTCAGTAGCTCTGTTGCAAGAACATAATGCCACTCTCGTACGTGTAGTATGGCAACCATGCTTGTGAGTCTTACCTTGGATTCGACAGCATGTGCAGCCAATGCGGATTGTGCGTGCACAGAGTCCATTGTTCAATTTGTTATGTTAGGCAGATTCAACGATGCTACGCGAAGCTCGTAGCTTACACCAGACCAACCTCTGAATTTATCTGCCAAGTCATCGTGTCAGTAAGTGGTTTATCTGCCAAGTCATCGTGTCAGTAAGTGGACATAACGTCTTTTCCGAGCGGTTCTACCCGAAGGAATGTTGTCGTCGTTGGTAGTGTCACGTCCAGTATCCGTCGTCGTGTTCGCGCGGTCATTTCGTGTTCACCATGTCATGCACCACATCGCACCTGAACGAGCAATTTCGAAGGGACGTACATCGTCTTGAAACAATAATAACTTCCAGTAAATGAAAGAGGGTACTGGAAGCACGAACTGGTACCTGCATGAGGGAACGTCCTTGAGAGCCTGAGACAAGCTCCGCCTGGCGGCAAACGAGAGCAAGTCAAAGAGCACTTCCGCCTTGGTCGATGCTCGCATCCCCAGAATCAAAGGGCCAGCTGAATGTTCAAAGTGTCAGTCGGATAAGCAGCTTAACTCGGTTGTTCTAACCTCTCAGCCAAAATCTGAATGGCTGGAAATGGCGAAGAAACATCATGAGGGATGGGGTAAATAAGGTACACTCACCGTTGACAGTTGGGAGAGTCGAGCAGGCGAATACGAGTTGTGTAGCTTGATTGTTCATGAACGCCAGCAACGAGGCATTGAGCGTGTTCTGTTATGCAGGTGATGCGGAGGATGATGCAGGAAAGAGGAGCTTTGCCTCACCAGCTGTGCGGAATCACAGGTATTATGAGTGATTTACAATAACATTTTGGCCAGGCTATGATTCATCATTCCGTTTATGCTTGCAAGAGATGACAAAAAAGCCATCAGTGGATGTGCAGGTACGACTCATGCTGCAGCGGTATCCTCAAATAAAAAACCTCCATACCTGATGGATGCTTGCTGCACCATACTTAATGGAAGCTCACTGCACCATACTTATTGGAAGCTCATCTTCATCATACCTGATGGATGCTTATTGCACCATACTTGATGGAAGCTCATGATCAACATACCTGATGGATGCTTACTGCACCAAACTTAATGGAAGCTCACTGCACCATACTTAATGGAGGCTCATCTTCATCATACCTTATGGATGCTTACTGCACCATACTTAAGGAAGCTCATCGTCAACATACCTGATGGATGCTTACTGCACCATACTTAATGGAGGCTCATCTTCAACAAACCTGATGGATGCTTACTGCACCAGACTTAACGGAGGCTCATCATCAACACACCTGATGGATGCTTGCATGCAAACACCTGCTGGATGCCTACCATCACCCCACCTGATGAGTAAACTATGCATCCAAGCAAATGGTGTAGTATTCCTGTCACGGTTTATGCTTGCAAGAAATTACAACACCGTTCAATGGACTTGCAGGTGCAGCTCGTCCTGGAGTATTCTTACCATACCTGATGGATGCCAGATACTTGATATCAACATACCCTAACTGTACCTGATGGATGAGCTCAGCATTTAACCAAGTGGTGCCTTAAGGTGAATTATTCTGGTTAGGCGAACAGTTTGCTTGCAAAAAATGATAAGACCCTCAAATGGATTTGCAGGTACACCTCGTTCTGCAGTACGCTCCACTCAAGAAAACCCCCCACCATGCCTGGCAAGTGGGTACCTTCGTTGTACCTGATGGATACCGGCCTTCACCATACCTGACAAGTCCCTACCTTTGAGAAACAAATATGGTGTGTGGTGCAAAAGAGGATGCAAGAGATGACAAAAAAAACTCGAAGTCTTGCAGGTACATCTCTTCGAGCAGCACAATCTAATCAAGAAAGAAGATCCCCTGTACGTGATGATGCATTCGTTCGCCATACCTTATGGATGCCCTTGAGCGGAATCCCTTTCATTCCAAACTCCACAACTGAAGCCTCACACGCTCTTCCCCGTCGTTCTGTCACTAACTCCTCCCCTCTGTTGTCAGATGCTGACTTGGGTGTGCGGACCTGCATTCATCACAATGAACAGATTCCACGACATCTTGATTTGTTGTGGTTCAATGCCATACCAGCAATCAACTTCGAGATTTAGTACTGGAACATGAAGACATGCAAGCACCCCCTTGTGTGATCTCACTGACATTACATCAGCTACACCGATCACCCCCTCCCACTGTTACATGTGAACTTTGAACTGTTTTCCATCACAGTCCCACCACCCCACCAACCGGTAGTTCCGCTTCACCATCAATTACCACCCATCATTCACCATCCACCATTCACCACTCATCAGTCACCACCCATCTCACCTCAAATCTCTCATCTGCTGCCAGCATCTCCACAAGCCTTGCTGCCTCAGCAGCAGCCGAGCCTTCCCCACATAACACTTCCCCAGCCATGTTTCTCGAGCTTGCTTCACAAGCCACCTCTGAAACCCCATCCCCTGAACCCTCTCCCCCACCATCCGTCTTGCGATCCTCTGCGAGTGATTCCAGCTCAGACACCAGGCCTGCCAGCTCAGCAGCGTCCTGGCCAATGAGCACGAGGCGGCAGGAGGGTGGGCAGTCCCAGGTGTCGATGGAAGTGCAGGAGCAACGGCTGCTGCCACTCAGCTGAAACACAAACCGCAGATGCCTTGGAGGAAGAAAGAGGGGAGGGAGGGGGGAGGATGGAGACGGAGGGGAAGCTTTGGACTGCTACGATGGGTTGGCACGAAGGAAGAAAAGGCAAGAGAGAAAGAGGAGCAAGGAGCCAAAGAACGACAAGGATGTAGCCCGAGTATGTGGTGAATAAGGCTTCGTGAAGCTCAAAGCTGGAAAGGTCCGAGCTATATTCCGCAGACAACAGAACCAGAGAAACTACCCCGCACCTGTCGTGACTCCTTACCGCATCTCTTTGAAGTAAAGGAAGCCCTTGGCTCGAAGCAGACCCTGTACCGGAGCACACCCACTGGCCGTACTGCTGGAGGCGGTGCTACTGCTGCTCTTGTTGCTGCTGGCGCCTCTGCCTCGCAGACTGGTGGCCACGATGTGCTGGAATGCAGCCAGCGGAAGGGGGTGCTGTGACTCAAAGAGGAGTGACGTAAATTGGGTGGAGGCATGACCTGGTGCAGGTGCACCCTGTTGACACCTCCTCGCTCCATGCCTCGCACTTGGTCCTTTCCCTTCCTCGGGCATTGAGGAAGTACGGGAGGAGGGCGTCTGAGGGGCGGGAGTGCGGAATGAGGGGGCTGCAGTAGATTCGTGGGAGAGGAAGCCAGAGGAGAGATGGGCGGATGCCGAGGTGAGAGGGGGGGTAGGCTGTGATACAGGAATGGTATCTAAGATTAAATCCAATGGGACGTGACAGTAACGGGTGCGGACTACAGGGGAAGGAGGCAAGCTGGCTGGCTGTCCGGCAGAGGAGGTGGGAGGATGGGAGTGTGAGTGAGGGGAGGTGGTGCAAGCGTGAGTGCTGCTGCAATGTGTGTCATTAGTATGTGGGTGGGTGGAAGCGTCTCCTGTGGTGAGGAATCTCAGGAGCATGTCTTCTGCATCTGAGAGCGCACCCAGAGACACCAGGTCACACCTGCGCATGGCGCAGAGGGGCATGGGACAGAGGGGAATGGTGCAAGGTGCATGGTGCAGAGGGGCATGGAGGAGCGAGGCATGGAGGAGAGAGGCATGGAGGAGAGGGGCATGCGTTTCAAAACAACCTCCCTCTCTCCCTCCCCTCCTCTTCTCCTCTCCCCCTCACTTCCCCCTCACATCTCTCACCGCCACGTCAACTCACTTATTCAACAACACAAGGTCAGCTGCCGCCAGCTGTCGCCGCACTATTGGCTGCTGTTCGAGGAGGGTCGGCAGAGTCTCAGCCTCCACCACTGCCACCACCCTATCCAGCCTCACCCCGGCTTCCATCAGCTGGGCAGCTATCGGCTGAGGATCCGCTAGGCCAGACGTCTGGAGGAACGGAATGGAAAAGAAGGAAAAGGGTTCAAATGACATTATCACCGCCATCGCCACCACTGCCACCACTCTATCGAGCCTCACCCCGGCTTCCATCAGCTGGGCAGCTATTGGTTGAGGGTCTGCTAAGCCTGACGTCTGGAGGAATAAAGTGGCAGAAGAGGGCAGGAAACGAGGAGAAAAAAAAGCGTTTCAGATGACACCATCATCACCTCGCCACCACCACCACTGCCTTCCCAGCCTTCCATGACTTTCCCAACCTCCCTTGCCTCCCTCGTCTCCCTTGCCTCCCGTGCCTCCCCTGCCACCACTGCCTCAGGGAAGATTCAACGATGAATGCTGGATTAGACGTATGCTGACGTGGCAGTGCCCGAGCAGCTCACCTCCAAGATGAGGTAGTCGCATGCTGACATGGCACCACCAACCGCTGCTCGCACGGCCTTCTTGAGCCCATCTCTGACGTGGCAACATGCGCAGCCTGCAGAGTGGTGGACGTGGGTGCATGGGGATGTGTGGATGGATGGAAATTGGGTGCAGTGCACATGGCTTTAAGAGTGGGTGCAAGGTTATTAATTATAGAACACGAATCATACGTGGCAATGGGCTAAATTCAGTCAACCTCCTAATTACTCTCACTGACTCGTTATCTCCAGTCCTCCCTCCCCTCACCCCCACTCACTCCCTCCCCTCCCTCACTCCCTCATGACTCACCCCACCCATTAATTCCCCCCTCCCTTTGCCCACAATTTCTTCTGCTTTCACGCACTCACCCCCTGCCAGGTCCCCATGACCAGGGGGCGCCCCAACTGCCACGTTGGCGCGCTGTGATTGGAGCAGCAGGGAGTCCACGTCAACAGGGCTGAATTCGTTCACCAGAACGGCTACACGCAGGTCGCCTTTCTCCTTCAACACGTGCTGGTAGGAGGCAAACGGAGGCGATAAGGGGCATTACGAGGTGAGGTAAGGGGGGTCAAGAGGGCAGTAAACGCAAACATTCTATACAGCCCTCTTCAGCCCCCCCTTTTCCAGCCCCCGGCTTTTCCAGCCCCCTCCTGCATAACGCTTTCCTTCGCCCCGCCATCTCCTCTGCCTTGTCCTGTCCCATCCTCGTGCACACACTGTGGCACTTCTCTTCTCCGTAGAGTATGTAAGGAGAAGGATGGAAGGCGTGTGGCTAAAATCTCTATAATACCCCTATTCAATTCTGTAGCGATCGTACAGTAAGCGCAAAAATTCTGTACCGGCACGTCCTATACCCTCACTCACCTGCAGCAGAGTGGTCTTGCCGCATCCCAGGAAGCCAGTCACGAGGGTACACGACACCTGATGCCGCCCAGACACCCCGCTAGCGTCCAGCACGCATGATTCAAACGAGAGGCTCATCTCGTTACCCTCTAATGCTCGTGACGCCGACACACGCGGCTCTGACGCTCCCCCTGCCGCCGATGCCGCTGCTGGTGCCGCCGCTGTTACAGCTGCTGACGTGGCCGTTGGAGCTGCTGTAGTGGCCTGCTCCGTGGTTTCCGCATGGGGAGCGAGAGGCGACGGCGGAACGCGTTCCGCCTGTCTGCCTGCGCCGGTGCCAGTCTCCGCGTGACAGCAGGTTGGTTCCCCGCCACCACTGCGATCGTCCCGGGGGTGAAGGTGAACCTTCTATCCATCCCGCAACTGGCGAAGAAGGGCGTGATCGCCACCATCGACGGTGCGAAGATGAACCTCTTTTGGAAGGGGGAGCAATTCGCGCAAGGGGTTCTCAATGGAGATATCTACCAACTCAAGACGTACCCAAGAGTGGCTTCATCGAACGTGGCGCAAGGCTCCAAGGCAACTCTTAAGGCGTGGCATGATCGACTTTGCGCACGCCAATTACGACTCGGTCAAGGAGTTGGCCAACAAAGGACTTGCGAAGGGACTTGACGTGATCGCCGGCGACGACGAGAAGGGCGTGTGCGCGGCGTGTGTCGAAGGAAAAATGGCTCGCAAGCCATTTGGTAGCCGAACGTCACCCCTCGCTAAGGACCCGCTTGCGCTTGTTCACATGGACGTGTGTGGACCGATGCGACATGCATCAAAGGGAGGAGCGCGGTTCCTCTCGGTGATGCTCGACGACGCGACGCGGATGTGTTGGACCCGACTTTTGAAGGCTAAGGGAGATGCGGCCAAGGCGATTCAAGAGTGGGCGCTCGATGTTTGCGACGACGACAAGAAGCGGATCAAGTGTATTCGCACCGACGGTGGGGGCGAATTCGTGAACGCGGAGCTTGAGAAATGGATGAAGAGCAAGGGCATAAAGCACGACGTCACGACACCCTACACACCCCAACAAAATGGAGCGGCGGAGCGGCTTAATCGCACGTTGGTGGAAGCCGTTTGTTCACTACTTCAACACTCCAAGCTTGGGAACGAGTGGTGGGGAGAGGCGAGTGCGCTAGCGGCATGGATTCGTAATCGTGTGCCGACAAAGGTGCTACCGGGAATGAATCCGTTCGAAGCATGGACCGGAACGAAGCCGAACCTATCCCGCCTACGCACCTTTGGGTGCCTTTGCTACTACCATATACCGGATCCTCTTCGCCACAAGTTGCAACTGAAAGCTCGTGCGGCGATCTTCTTGGGAGTTGCGCCAAACGAGCGTGCATGGCGAGTGTGGGACTTGGGTGAAAAGCGTGTTGTCACGTCTCGGGACGTGGTCTTCGATGAAGACAAGTTCCCGTCGAAGGAGAAACCCACTCAACAACTCACTTTCATCCTTCCGCCACGAGAGGAGGTTGAAGAGAGTGAGACTCCACCTCAAGTGGAGAAGGAAGCCGATGGAGGGGGAGAGAACAACGAGGAGAGCGTTGATGATGTCGTGGAGGTGTCACCTACCGAGGCGGCAACTACCTCCACACCTTCCTCCCTACCATTGGCCTTGACCCGCGAGCGTCGTGAGGTTCGTCCTCCCTCCAAGTACGCCGACTATGCTACGGTAGCCGTTGGGAAGTTGGATAAGGAGGGGGCGGTATTTTGCTTCGCAACCATGGGTGATGATGAACACATGGATCCTCTCATGGAACTACCCCCTAAAGATCCGTCCCGTGCATGCTACGAGCATGTTGGATTGCACACCTAGTGGGTTGGGTGCAAGGGGGAGTGTTGGAGGTCGCGTGAGTTAGAAGCAAACGGTGGTGGGGCAATTGATATGCCCCCAACCCACCGAATGTGTTTCGGTGCTCACCGCTTGAGAGAGCTGCAGGTTTCACGAAGTGTGTGGGTTGACTTCGGAAGACCCACTCGATTGGTGCCACATGACAACATAAGATGAATCGAGACTCAGGGAGAATTCGATTCGGTGAAATTCGAGAGTCGAATTTCACCCCTTCGATGTTACTCGAACATTCGAGTGTACCGCGGTTCGAGGTTACATGTGCGATTCGACGTTTTGCAGTTCATATAAATGTGTTTGCTTTTGTATTGCATGATATACTGAACATTCTGAATCACTTTGTATGAAGTGCATTCGAACACAAAATCCAGAGAGATTCCTATCCTTCAACATAGAGCATAGTCTTCACGTTTCCAGCTATAGCTCGCTCGTTTCTCAGGCGAACGAAGCAATTGACGGCTCGTTGGAAAGTTAAGACAGAGCTCTATCGTTTAGAACAATTCCCAGTTCCTGCAAAGTAGAGGAGAGTCCTTTACATCAGCCACCACTGCGATCGTCCTGCCCTGCTACCATCTTCATCGAATCTATGCTCTACGAATATCGACTTCGGCCTTGCGTTTTCTCGGTAATTCTTTCCCGTCAGATCGCCTGTCGTGTAGTTCTGCCGACTACGTGCCTGGACAACCAACCTAGTTATCCGGCGAAAAAGAGCCCTGGATTTTGCAGAGGTGGATTTCAGATTGCAGGCGCTAAATTCTACGCGTGGATGATATGGCATCAACGCGTGGCGTTTTCGACGTGGCGAATTGTGAGAAAGCGTGAGAGACGTGGATTACGTGGGTCAGATTCGCAATACTTCCCCCACACCGTGGATGTACCATTGAATTGAACCGAAATTTCTGTAAGTGATTTCACCTGCCCATGTTTGGGGGTAGTCAATTCCTGTATGGGGTGGGGCTGCTTGCATTTCCGCCCACTCAGGTCTTTTGGGATTGGTCGGTTGTGCGCCTTGGTCCGCACCGCACAAGGCACGCTCGAAATTCCAGCGAGGCGCAGAACCATGCTTGCTGGTTGTGAGGAATCGCAATTGCTCTCGCAAACGTCGCCAGCACAACGTCGCCGACCCTCGTGAGCCAACCCTTTCCATTCGCCTGGAAATCTTCCACACACATGTGGAACTCCCTGCGTCGCATGCTCCCAACCAGCCCTTCGCCTGCCTCAAATCTCCCCTCGTTTGAACGCGTGCGACAGCTGGTTCCATATCGCCACCACTGCATTGCAATTTGACCCCCATCCCCATTTCGTTTACAGGCGCAAATTCTAGAGCACTTGCCCCTCTCCCAGCGTTCCCATTCCGTCCGCCCCTTCTCGTCCACATGCACCCTCCAACCACATCCACATTTTTTGCGTCCTTCCCCCCCCTTCCCCATCCACCATCCAGCTGCCACAGGCCTCCTCGAAACACACAATTTGGATTCGCACACCCCTAAGCCTGGTCAGCCCACTCTTGGTCTGCTGATCTGAGGCTTATTTCCGTCGCCGTGAAAAGACGAGACGGCCTTGGTTAGAGTAAGCTCCGCCATACTCCCAAGCCTTCACATTGTTCCGACTTGGCTCCGTCTCACGCTACCTCTCTCCATTTCGCGCGATCTGGAGCAGCGGAAACCTTGAGACACGGAGGATTAGGAGCCTGTCGGAACGTTCGTCCCTTGCAAAAGGACGGACCTGCGCCGTTGACTTGAGACGTCTTGAATCAGCGACTGTCTCGCTGCGATCGTCGTAGATCCGCTGCGGGCAAAACCTCTGTGCTGTCGTGTGCGACAGTCGTTCAAAAGTCGTCGCAATGGCGACTCAGCCTGGACCGCTCTACGAGTTCCCGTGGCACTCACTCGGCGGATACAAGGTGCGTCCTCTCCTCAACTTCGCTCGAATCTTCAACCTTCGGCTAGATTTCAGCAATCAATTCGCAACCACGTGCATTTACGATCGATGCGTTCGTTTGTTAACGCATTGCCCACAAAAGCGCTCAATAGCATCCGCGTGTCGCGAATCACATGAATGCAACGAGGTGATGACGCTCGCTGCTATTCTCGTTTTGCGTACCAGGATCATGTGGTACGCTCATTCCCCTTATTCCTCTCACCTCCTGTCTGACCGCAATTCCCCACAATACCCTTGCTTTTCCTCTCCCCAGTACCTGGTGCTCGCTCCGCTGGTAGCTCGAGCCATCGACGCCAATTTCCACGGCGGGAAGGACCCGGACAACTTCAGTCTGCACCTGCTGATCGCGTCGGCGCTGCGGCTGCTGGTGGGCATGGCGTGGATGACTATATCGCGCTGGCCGCACCTCGTTCCCCGATATAAGATCCAGCGGAAGGGCGTGAATTTCAAGCAAATGGACCGGGAAGAAAACTGGTGAGTTTTGTTTCCCTTTTTCTTTTTTTTCTAGTTCAAGCCAGAAACAAAAAAACCGGTGTCAAGATCATCGTTGTGGCCTGTCGCTTCTTTCTTGGCCCTTGTATTCACCTAGCGGAAAGACTTGGTGCAAGCAGGAGATGAGGCTGAAAGGGCGCGTTGTACGGCTCATCGGCATTCGTTTCCGGCGCTGAACGTGCGTTAGGCGCATCGCAGTGCGCATTACGAGATGAGACTTGCGCGCCCCATCAGACATCATCAGGCGCCTTCTATAAGGCATAGGCGCCACGTAGGAAAGCTCCCCGACGCCATACAAAACGGGCATTCTTGCCGCCATATGAAGGCAGTAGGCGCTTCATAAGATGGCATTAGGTGCCTCGGAGGAGGGGATTCAGCGGTTTATTTTACGAAATTAGGCACCTAATTGACGTGAAATGGGACGAGTTTTGAGGCACCGCAAAGTACGAGATTGGGCAATTGATCGAATGGAGTTTAGGTCCCCGTCCCCGAGATGCAGGCGTCGCATGAAATGACATATCCGAGCCTCATAGAAGGGCATCGAGGCCTTCACGTGGTACGAAAAGGAATAGAATGTTTTTTCATATAGACGTCTATATCAACCAAGGGAAAACATCGGCATTCTCAAAAGTCCTCACGTGGCTTCAAGTGGCGATCGCGGAGTGGGGAATGAAGGGGGTTTTCCTCTGTTGAGGAGATGTCGACAACCTCTCACTCTGATTCTTCACTCCCCATTCATCCCTCCTCATTCCTAACCCGCGGGCTTTGCGAAACTACTGCATATTCTCAACGCCCATGCTTCGCT